ATTTATCCAAAATATCTGCTGCACCTCCAAATTCAGAATAGCCATGCTACAGTCTCTCACAGACATTTGCAGCACAAACTCCCTGAAAGTAATTAATCTATATAGTCCAACAACATATCAAGTAAATGTTATTGTCTGAGGAAAGAATTATATCAAAGAGTTATTTCTGTGGAAGATTTAGCTAACCCATAAACCAATAGAAGATGTAATACAGTTATTAAGAGACATACTGGAAAATATATTAACAGAATTGCATAAGCATAATTATGTCTGAAAGAATATCCTGTGTTAACTTGGTTGATAATTTGTTTAGTACACTTTCAATATTGATGAATCTTATAAAAAAATTTGATTAATGAGCATTTAGCTATCCAGAATGAAAAATCTAGCAATTTTGATGTAAAGTTATTTCAAAGTAGAACTGTTGATGTAGATTAATACTTGAATGTATTGAATTGAACTTATTTTTCTATTGTGATAATCGGTCTATGCGTGAATTTCTTAATTCCAAACATAAACTCCTTGAGTTGGTGGCTTGTGTGCTTAACCCACAACTGCATAATTTGGTGATAAATAAACTTATTTGTAACTTGTGTAAAGTCATCCCAAAATGACTACCCCTATGATCACCTGTTACACTCCTTTCTGGATAGTTAATTATTTACCCTCTTGTCTTGCTATAGTCATTTGCTTCCATAAGGTTTGTTCCTATACAGCTTGTTCCAAGCATATTTTCTTTTCTCAAGTAAGTAGGTAAAGTCATAGCTGGTATACCCATGACTTACAAAGCTTCATCTATGTGAAAATGACCACAGCCAATGCTCACAAAACCTCAAACTGTAGCACCATTTATATCACAAGATGCTTTGTAGTTTTGGGGGTTAGTGGGCTCATTGGTAATGACAAAGTGCCACTTGCAGTTATCACAGTTAAGATTAAATTAGCTAAAAAGGCCTTTTCTTTCTTTTCACTTATGATTTTTATGACACCCTACAAATATCTCTATGCAGTGATGAGAAAATGATCAGTCTTCTGATGAAATAACTGATAGAAACAATTCTATTTCCATCAAGAAGTTGTAAGCCACAGTTATCTGAAAAAAATTGGAAAAGATGGTGATGATGTGTTGTGTGAATCTTTGTTCTTTTCTGTAATATTTTCCCATACTCTACCTACACCTTTGGAGTTAGTTGATACTGTTTTAGTACACCTGAAATAACTAATATTTTATCACAACTGGCAAAGGATGTGTAATAACACATGAATTAATAACATGAAAACTAATGCTTTTCAAAAAAACATGGCACTATATTTTTAATTGTTTACTGATCTTTAGTTTTCCTTGAGCAGAAGGACACCACAACATATTTTTTTTTGTTAGGCAAGTTTATGTTCTGTAAATTTTGTTTCCTTTGAGATTCAGGCTTTCCTTTTCTTGCTGCAGTCAGAGGCATGGTTCAACTTGACTAATCTAAAATGGATAAACTAGCTTGCTAAATGTTGTGATCTAACTGGTCAAGTTCACAGAGTAGATCACATGGTAACAGCTTAACCACAGCCAAGAACCAGTAATCTAACAACTTGTCTAATATTACTGGCAGGCACTATCTAGGTCAAATTCTAATGCCACAAGGCATGTATGCATAGGTCAGCTGACATCATGGAAACTTTATGGACAATTTTCTGAAAGCTAGGAAAAAATATTATATGCTATTTATTTTCTTATATTCAGCTCTTTATGCGTATAAAACAGAAATGAGCTCAGCACATTTCATCTCATATAAGATAAAAGGTCACCCATTTATTTCAGTTTTATACCTACAAGAATTGCATATAAGTATATCGATAGCAGTTAGTGAATTTATCTATATGTATTTTACACATATCCTGCTGCTTAACAACTATCTAGTCCAGATGAGACTGGATACTGCAAAGCTTTTGTAGCTTGAGCCAAGAAGAAAGCATTGTAATTGTATAAAAATACAGATATTATCCTAAAGGAAGGATTTATGAGCATAGCAGGTCCAATACGGAGAACTACAGTGTATACAAAGTATAACAAAAAGTAACAGCAGGTTTGTAATCCTATGTGTTTCAAGAGCTAATAAGATGGTCAATATAATTATGTTACAATTTTGGCATAGAAATGTGATGTATGCAGTTAGGGATAACACACTGTATACTGACTTAATTATGGTTTAATTTATTCTGACTGGCTTAGTGTCTCCAATGTGGGCTATATACAATGTTACCTAAAGCAGGTAAAAAAACAAAACAAATGCTTCTATCTTTTTTTGTTTTTCCTTTTTAATTTATTAAATTCAAGACCTGAACATTGTCTCCATTTTCTTTCTTTTACTATTTATTTAGTTCAAGTGGAAATAAAAGTAATAAGACCAAGTATAATATTTTGATACTTGTACAGCCGATTCTTTTGTCAATACATTCAAAGCATTGAAATGATAATATAACTGAGTAAATCCTTACACCAAGTAACCTTTACAATGTCTTGCAGGAGTTATATTCAACTTTGGTTGTTATAAAGCTATAAGTACATGTGAATGGAATTTTCAATAGTGAAATGGTAATGTCGTCTATTGGTTGTAATACATATTAATTTCAAAAGAAAAATCTACTTTTTGTAAAGTTTTTCAAAATTTGTGCAAATAAAACAATTTACTTCTTTACTTGTTATGCATTTTTATATTTAATAAATAGTTTAAAAGTATGATTGTTTCAAAACTTAATCATGTGCTTTTGATGAAGATCTGACTTCAAGAAATTGTTATACAAACGTATGTACATACATAAAAGTTAAATAAAAATATAAAACCATCAAGCACTCAGAAGACCTAAAAATTTGAAAATAAAACTTCAGTCTGATGAAACAGTTAGACATTTTCAAGTACCAAGTATTGTATGCTCAGTTTATCATTTTATGAATGATAAATTATTGAATAATACCTTTACTATGAGGGCAGCAATTCTTAGTATTGATAAAAATCAATGAAAAAAATAATAGAAGAAAGAGTAGAAGATAAGAACATAGTCTGAAAAAAAATTAACAAGATGCTTTGCAGTGAAAACATCCTAAATACTTATAGTAGGTTTAACATTCTAGGTGAAATGCATATAATACTGTCATTTAAGAAAAAAGTATATTTTCCAAATTTTATTCATATCATTTATCTATTTCTTATGTGCAGTAATATTAGTGTCTGTACTGAAAATAATACAAAAAAGTAAAAAATGTATCAACATAAGTGTTTTGTGCAAGTCATTTATAATTTCAAGCAAGCTTCAGAAACCTTTGGGTTTGACAACATTACACATCACACACCTATATGGTTTGTAAAAATTCATGACCAACATTTGAACATTTTCTAGTATAGCAAGCAAAGAGTGGATAGTTGTGTGTATGTGTGTGAAGGGACATTATACATCAATTTTCTTATTTATAAAACACACAGACTGAACATGTGATATGCAGTCATATCATATGTTTTACACCTGCTTAAGTTATATAGAAATCTGTATGATGTTTCAGTCATTTAGTTTCCATGTTGTAATGGTGGCAACTTGTGGTCCAGCAAGTCATTAAAACTACTTTGTTCCAGTTGCTTTATTCTCTACAGTAGGTAATGTCTTATCTGCCTGAGAGGATATTGCAGTAATATATAGCATTTGGACTGTAATATCGTTTGCTGGCCAGGCTGACACTGACTAAGCACGACAGCAGATCAATGCTGGAAGAGAAAAAACATCATGAGGTGATGCTGTCAACTGGTTAAAAAAATGCATTTACCTGTTGAATTCAGGAGCATTTTCTTGGACTAGTTCTACTAGAAAATCACCAAGTGAATATTTATTTCAATAATAACATGTTTTAGCTGGGAGCTGAACACAGCCTAGTTGAAGCAACTATGATTACATCTGCACAAGTATGCACAGTGTGTTTTCCATTTGTTTGTAACAATAAAGATTTTGTTAACTTATTTATATTTTTCTAGGCTCATTATTTTACACTTAGGGAGACTAAGTCAAGCTATTAACTACAGAACACTCCCCTTATTTCTTGACTAACTCTGTTGTTATTTGTAAGTTTGCCTATCTAATACTTGTAGGTAAATCAGTTTTACCTGAAAATACCATGTTATTATTTTCAACTTTATGAGAGTTGAAAATAACATTTACATACATAAATAAATGAGCAGAAATCTCATCTTTATCACCACTCTGTAGCTCACTGACTTCCATTTCATGAGAACTTGTAAGTAGCCTAATCAGTATCCTAATTGTAGTCTGACCACCTTTCTCAACATGCTTTGCAAAAATGAGAGAGAGAGAAAAACCCTAAATTTTTGTTACTTTGTGTGGATCTTCATTTTCCAGAATTAACATGATAATTATTAACATAGTTTCTTCTTAGGTATTCAGGCCAATAACCATCTATTTTCTTCAACCTAGTAACTATACTAAACAAATTAATGTTTTTGGATTTTTTAAAACAATTTTTCATATTTTCCTGAAGATCAGCAATGATTTGCTTATTTTTTTATAATAGATTTAACCCACTTACACATTTTCAAGGCAACTGGCATTTTCAGTCAATCCAAAGTTTACTCATCGCCAATGCCAAAACAAGCACAGTAACTTCTTCTGTTAACTTGCAGAAATAAATATGTGTTAACAATAAATCCACATTAATATTGTACTTATTTAAAAGCTTGGGTATTTTTTTCTACATCATCACACACAAAACCAACCGATATGCACTATTTCAGCGACTATCATCATTCCGTATTTCATTTTTCTAATCTCCTTGAAAGAATGTTGGTACTGAAGGACACTGAGCTGAAAAATTAGTATGTCAGGAAGATCTAAGTTACAATAAGCAAATAGAGGTGCAACAAAATCAAAGTCAATTAAACTTAAGGGCAGATAGAGAAGATAGTATTAATGAATTTAAAAACAAGTTGTGATTATCTAATAATTCTTACCATTCTTCTTCTGAGCATGAAGGTTCAGGAATTGGATTTTCATTTTCCCATTTATCTTGTCTTTCCTTTTCTCTTTTCTCTGCAAGGATAGCATCTACCGACTTTTTTTGGAAGTTCACAAGATAACGTTCATTTTCTTCATCCTCTAAAACAAAAAGGTTTTCAGGAAATAATAAAATTCTGACATGCAGAAACACAGAATCATAAGCATTAGATCTTTTACTACTAAAACACTAATATGGATGCTGAAAATTTACAAGTGTCAAATAAATTTACATGAAACCTGCTAAAAATAGAATTAATAAGCAACAAGTATCCAAAAACTATATCTATAAACATAAGTTGAAAGCATCTCAATATTAAAGTTTCAATCATATGTTTCAGTCTTATTTGTTTCAGTAAGATTTTCAAAGTCTCAAACTTCTTGCTACTAAAATAATTTTTTTTAAATATCTGTATGCATGTGTGTAACCTTTGTCCAAAGTTTGTCTTCAGTTTATATGGATTTTAAGAGATTTTTGATACATAATACAATATAAGCTACCTATGTTCCAGCATTAAAGTTTCCAAGTTAATCACTAAGTTGATATGTAGGAATGGGCTGAGAAAAACATGTCTGCTATATTCAATCTATTACTCTATGATACTTACAAATAGCTGCTAAAGTTGAGTTATAGCCTAATTTGCACACCTAATTGCCATTATTGAGTGTTTCACAGCTTGTGAGACTCCCAATATCATTGAAAAGTGTTGCTAAAGTGAAGAGCTGGGAACTAATTAAATAGCCAAAGTGTTCTTGTTTCCTTTCCCATGCTAGCCAAAAAATGTGTGAAGTTTGTGAAATGGCTTTAATACGAAAGAAAAACATTTTAAGAGTACTTGTGGACAGGCTATCACTAAGCATGGTAGTGCTTAGTATAGGCTAAAAAAATCATAATTCTAATGTAAACATTACTCCTTTAAGTTAGCCTTCTTACAGAAATCTAGTGTTCCTTTAAAAAGCTTAAGTACAGGGTAAAATAGGAATTATCAGCCAATAATAGATGAACATTAAATGACTGTAGCATGTAGAATACTCAATGCTTTGTACACAATACAGTCAGTGTCTCTAGGGAGCCAACTCCTATATTATGTATAAAATGAAGGATTAAAAAAATCAATACACATAATGTTAAATTTTATAACATACATTAATAGAATATACTAACTTTCAGTCAGGGAAAAGAATTTCACAAAACATGTAATAAAAAACATTTTGTAAATGGAAAATTATGTAGGGATGGTAGTGCCAAAAGGAATGCAAATATGAATATAGGAATGATACAGCTATACATTTTTATATGTTCTTTCCTTACTGTAGGTTACTCAACATTAAGTCCCAAAAATGTCAAGATTATGACCATTGATGATTAATGATCTATTGTTGCCAATTGTATAATATAATATCAATATCTGAGGTCATTCTACAAGTGCAATGAAGAAAATGATATGACATTAAGAATATATATTACCATTGAATTATAAAAATTAAAAAATATTCACTTATCAACCTAATTCAATGAAATTGTTTTTTTTTTTTTAAAGAGGGGAAAACAAGTACTGACAAAAATTTTGTAAAAATTAAGTATGATGCCAAAAAGTACAGAAACAAGGTAGGCAGGAATACACAAAACAATAAAAAAAAATCAATACATAAGTAGCCAAATCTTTCCAAGAATAACTTTTTATCTACAATTAAATGTTGAATTCCTGTCC